TGCTAAACCTTTCTGGTAACCTCCAAGAATCAGCCAACAAACAATCCTTTGTAAGCTTCCAGCCCTAGACAGTTCTCATGTGGTCGGTTGGACTAGACACACATGAGAAACCCTAGATAGGCTCTGATACCAAGTAGTCGATCAAGACTACAGTCAGTCTTGGATTCTAAAGGATTTCAGATTGAGAAAGTAGAAGAAAAGAGGGAGAAGAAGAAGAAGAAAGCAGAAGTACACAAGGGTTTTGAAAAGGAGGGACAGATCGAATGAATCTGCCACCGCCACTCTCTCAATATTTATATGTTATGTTCACTAATTATAGGAAAGGGCAGAATTGCCCTTAATGCTTACATGGCAAATAAAACAATAATAAACTGAAATAACAAGCTATCTAAAATAACTACCAACTAACACTAACATAACTAACAAAGATTACATGTGCTGTCATACGAACACCGTGGGGACCACATCCGTGGGGCCCACATCAGTGTTCTCTACAAAGCATTTTTACCCAAAAAGTAAAAAAATAAAAAGGCAATAGAACGCAAAGAGATCACATTCATTTAGCAAGAGAAATAAAGAGATGGTTGTGATTAGAAAACCAGATCAGGACTATGCACTTGTTTGTTGTGAATCTTGTGATTATTTATTTACCAAGACATGCACATAAAGATGGTTCATCCCAACAAATTTTAACAGCATAAGTGCATAACAGTTTACATTTTATTTACACCGACAATTTCCCTATTTGTAAGTTAGAGCTGTACATACCATTCTTTTGAAGACATTTTTTCTGTTGCATCATGTTCCACGGGATTATGGTTCCTCTGACTTAAGATTTTCTATTTAAGAGAAAAATACTTGCATTAGAAACACAAGCAATATGTATCTGTAAAATTTGCAGAAGAGTAAATGCTGAAATTGTAGTTTTATGAACCTAAGAAAAATCAATGAACTGCTGAAATCAAAATTCAACCGAGTTGTGACAATAAACTTTCTTTAAACATCCAAACCAAATGTGTGCTTGGCCTTCCAAACATTTCTTCAAATTTAGTAAGGAGAAATAGGGGGGAAAATGAAAATAGTGAAGCGTACAAGTAAACAGCCACTTAGGTGTTTATACCTTACAAACCACCTAAAGTTCATAGCTTGATGTTTGGAGCTTTAAGAGTTTTTTTCTCCACATTGCTGCAGGAATAGTAAGCAACTGTGTCAGTCTAAAGTACATAAAAAAACAACAATCATGTAGAAGGAAATTGGTGGCTGTTTTGTTTCCTATACCTGCATCTCTGTACCTTTCTTCTTTAACAGCTAACTTGATACTTTTCACCAGATCAAGTTCCTTGGCCAGTATATCTGGACCACCTGCAGCACTGGAAAGATACATCCAATATTTAGAATGGTACAGCTAAATTTATTCAAGGTTTTAAAAGGCTGAAGGTGTAGTTGAAGCATGGTGGCCGAAAAAGGTGAGGCATAAGTCTCAAGGCGTTGTGAGGTGTAAGCCTTGAAAATTAAGAAAAAAAAAACAATTGAAGTTTATAAATGATAGAATAACATATGATATATCAAGTTAGAATGATAGAAGGTACAGATACCCATAAAATAGACGTTCATAAGCAATATAAACAACTAATCAACTAACAATTATAAACCTTTTACATTTCAAATTTCGAAATCCAAAGTTCTCAAATTATTCAAATAATCAATCATAATGTTTTAGACTATCAAAATTCTCCATCATCAAAATTGTTTTCATAAATGAGATACATATAATGAATCATCCATATAATTTATATTAGATTTATGGTTACCCAACAATTTAGAATAAAGGAAACAACTTAGGGATTTGATCTATCTATGCAAAAAAAAAAAGTCAATAAAATGAAAATAAATTCATTAGAAAGAGGAATGAGATAAATAACAAACTTGGGACGTTAGATTTAGAATATTAAAAAAAAAAAATCCCACTTAATTTAACCAATATAAAACTAAGAGTTTGATTGGCCTTTTTTGCATTGAATTGTCCTAAAACACAAAGATAACTTGATTTGCCTTATTGGCTTTTCATTTTACTTTTTTTATTTGGCACATAATTACTAGAGTGCCTCTCATATATTTTGAACTATATAAATACATAAAATTTATTTTTGTTGTATTAAATCATTGGTTCTTGAGACTTACACCTTTTTATGCCTCAAGCTGCATCTCATGCCTTGAGGCTTGAGGTGTACGCCTCTTTCTGACAAGGGCCTTGTGAGGCCTAAGCCTTTTAAAATAATGGCTTTATTTGTATTCTTTACCATCAAGTGGCCTTAAGAATGAGCACATGTAAAACAACTAATTTGTTGGCAACAAGTCGACAAATACTAAGACATTCAGGCAAATACCAGGTGTAAGCCGGCTGGCATGCCAAGTCAATGTCAATTAGATAAAAATAAATAAATATGTGAATATTCTAATGTATGTATATAATTACACAGTGGGTCTAGCAGTCAGGTCATTTAGCAAAAAAGTTGAACAACCAAAGAAATCTTCAGCATGGCAAAGTGGTTGGGGCAAAAATGGATCCAAACGTTTTTTTATCTGTAATTAATAAAAAAAAAATAGTTTTGTGAGTATTACAGATTACAGAAAAACAGTAAAAAGAGCAAGCCATTTTCTGCACATCCCAATACATCTTTAGGCCAGTCCCAAACAAGAAAAGATTCCCCATTTACCCTGGTTGATAATTAGAAGTTATCAATACCTATGTGAATGAGGTATTCACACTTCTAGCCAAAGATCTTGCACAGTGCATTCCTCCCTCTATTCCCTATTAATGGGGAAATTTTGAACTCAAAATTCCAAATGGTCAGAAACAAACCCCCTTTTTCATTCTATATCATGAGAGTTTGGCAAAAGTTTTGGTGCCGGCTGTCAACCTGACTCACCTTCCTTTATCTGGGCTTGGGACTGGCAGTGTAAGACAAAAATATAATATTGAAAATTTTTTTTCCTTTTCATTCTATCAAAAAAAAAAAAGAAAGAAATAAACCCCTTTTTAGGCAAAACTATAATTATAATATTGAGACTTTAAATAGTCAATAACCTGTTCTAGACACTAATAACAGTTGGGTCAGACTAGAATATTTGTACAGGTGGTCAATCCAGAGTATCCCCTAGTTGACGGATAGTTCAGATTGCCCACATCATCTCTCCACATGAAAGAAATATGGTAGGCTGTGTAGGGAAGCTCCCTACTTGGGAACGGGATCTGCTCCTCACACAGGGGCGCCTCACAAGCACACCCACTTGTACGGGATCTCCCGTGAATAATAACTTATAAGTACGGGAGATGTTCCCAATGCATGGTAGGAATGTGCCAGTGAGGTCGGTGTGAGGACAGATCCGGTCTCCTCTACTTGACCCAATTAAGGAATATTTTGTCCATATAATTATATAATTATACAAGTATATTTAATTGCATGTCAATTATAAATTATTAAAACTGCAATTTGAATTTCTAAACGATTATTAAATAAAAACTTGCACATGATTTTTAAAAAATGGTGACAAGATTTTTGAATAACTTCACTGGCACAAAGTAAAACATAGAAACATATAAGGGATAAGAGCCCTAAATTTTAGCTTTACTGTTTACATGCACTCCTATTGACCCAAAATAGTAACACATATCAATATACAAAGGGGATATAGTTACTTATTTTTCCATTTTAAAAAACTTCAGCTGCGTTTGGTAAGAGTGCACATGCAGAACAAAGTGAATTTGCACTATCATTCAGTTTTGCAGGCATTTGGTAATAATACGTTTTTCGTACTGAAAAAGAAAGTAATTTTGTTTTTCCAACTGTTTTTGCACTCAAAGCTGGTCAAGATAAAAAAGGTAGGTTCCAGCCTTGAGGTTCATGTTTTCACTTTCACGAACAAACATGAGACTGTAAATTTATGACTGCAAAACCTAACCAGGTTTACATCCTTCTATTTGAACAAATTTGCATTCACAACAGTGCATTCACTTTTTTCTCTTCCCAAACACAGCCTCCATGATGTATTTACTTAATTGCTTCCTCTAAAATGTTTGAAAAAAAGTTTCCTAATTAAATCAAAGTTAGGAATTACATGATCTATCTGATTTCAGCCATGCAGAGGATGATGCAGCAGGTTCAAACCATCCATCAGGTGGACACTCCAGATTGACCTGGTATCCAATTCCCTAGTGAATATTATGCCCAACTTTGCATTGGTGGTTTCCCCAACACATTTTAGCATCCAAAGTTTTTTTTAATTTTTATTTTAATAGTGTCCAACTTTTTTTTGATGAATTAACAGTGTCCAATTAGGATACCAAAAAAGCATGATAACAGTACGAGTTTATAAGAATTGCACACAAGTCTTCTGAGGTTTGGTCATTTTGGCTGCTATGTCATTCATGTGATGCAGAGAAATGCTCTTGCTACTATTTAGACTGGACTTAATTTATAAAGTGCTTTTATCACATATTTACACAACCATATAGGCAAGGCCACCTTTTACACACCTTGTAGCACAGTAGCAGTGCCTCACATTGAACATGTATCTATTTTATAAGCGGAAGGGAAAAAAACTATAAAAGGAAGATACAATGGAGTCCTTACACCTTGACAACACAAATCTAATATTAAAACAAAGCCCTCAGACAAGTGGCATCTTATTTTTCAAGAAAGAGAAACTCATAGTGGTTATTCCCACTCTCAAAGAAAAGCTTCCTTACTCACACATGTGTCTACCCACTCAAATGGTAATTACCTCCACTGAAAAGAAAAACTCATTTCAAAGGATGTAGGGTCCAATAAAATGGGTTATTATTTAGAAATAAAACTTGATTGAATCTATTAAATTAAATAACAAATGTCACCATAAAAAAATCAAATAAAATAATGGCCTAAATTTACAACATAAAAAGGGTGTCAAATAAAATTTGTTAGAATACAAAAATAGAAAAAGAAAACAGAATACTGACCTTGTACTTAGTACGGGGGGTCATTCTCTAGTTACAGAAATAAGAAAGACCAGAAAAAGTGAAGCCTAAGAATGATTAAGTACCTGTCCAAAGATACATCATAAACTGACTTTGCACGGTTTCTTCTGTGTGCTCCGTAAACAATCGTAATAGCATCAGACAAGATAATTTGTCTGTTGACATAAATTGGAGCCTGTATTCAATTCAATTGTGAAAATTCTAGCATCATAGAATGATAGAAATTGCTTTTTTAATAATAGAACTTTCCAGAAAAATAGAAGGCTTATGTCAATGCATGGCATGGTTTTGTGGTTGAATTTTGGCCCATTATTTACCAACGGATATGGCATTGAACAGAATGGAATGGTGAAACAGGATTCGTGTAGCCAACCTATATAGTTAGGTCAAGGCTTGGATGATAATGATAATGATTCAATTCAATTGTGACAAACCGTGACTCACGAGCAACCAAGACTTGTCCAACTTAAATTAGTTTATGCTTCCATTACACTAAAACTCAGAATAGCAAGTGTTTGTATACCTTCTACACAAATAAGCACATACCCTTCATATGGTTTAACCAAAATGGCCTAGAATTTATTAGTACACACGTTATTTGGAATATTAAGAATTTAAGATAGAATATGCCTTTAACATGCCTACTGAAAAAGAGATGCCTATAAACAATGCATCAGAATGTGCCTTCCTATTTTATCAATGTCCCCAAGAATATTTCTTGCCTCTTCAAATTCCAGGAATCTAAAAAAGAAAAGTTCTCAATGATGTCATTTTTACATCTAAAAAAGTTCTCCAAGGATATTTTATACAGATGTATACAAAAATTCTTGAACACAGAGATGACCAGATTATTTCAAGGGATTTTAAAACATGAAACACATATCAGAAAAAAAAAAAGTTAGTGAAAAGGTCTTCCTCCCATCCCAGGCCCAAGGACACAGCTAGACAAGGTACTGGACACAAGGCCATAAAGGCCATTACTAAATGTTGGTTCCAGCCATAGGGGGGTCATGGGAGGGGTAGACTGGATATGGTCCTAACCTTTGGCATTTTTTGCATAAAGATATACAAGGCTAACACTAAAAATTGTAGTGTCCAACATGATAGAGCACTCGTGTAAAAGTGTGCTGGTACCATAGATTTTTCTTTAAAATATTATATTGTAAGGGAGAAGTACATGAAAGGTGACTGCTGGACTTGACATACTCACAAGCGTTGACTGGGCAGGTATGTATGCACTCTGAGGAACCCTGGCCTCTAAGAAACTTGATTAGGATAGTTAAATCTCTGGAGTTTAGGGTTGCATCATATTATATTCCAGGGAATTATTTTAAGGATTCTCTATCCTTTGATTTATCCAGTTTATTTTTCACCATGTTTGTTAAGGAATCAATCTTGGGATTCAATGCCTTCTGTTGTATGTAGTCCAACCCTTTGAATTAATCACCATAACTTACAAGAATCAAGTACAACTACTAACAAAGCATCTTCTAGCTCTTCCAAGATCAATAACATTAATTGCTTCCAGGCAACAGGAAAGAAAAAGCCCTAAAAGCATTACCTTGCATCTTTTGGCCACATTTATGGCATCTGATGGGCGTGCATCCACACTTAGAAAAACTTTTTCCCCTCGCTGCAGATATAAAAGCCTCATGAGGGCTAAAAATGAGCTTTCATAAACCTAATGTGTTTACCAAAAGGAAAGCAAAAGTATCTGGTACAAGCCAATCATATATGTAAGAGTTAGCCATTAAAAAATCATAAGTTCTATAGTTACCTTGCTAAAATATATTCTGGCATGGTAAGTATTAACCACTCTTTCCGTAATACGCACCATTTTCACCTGATGTAAAAAAGAAAATCATTATATGGAAAGAGTACAGCTTACTTCCAGTATATGTAATCAAAAGAATTGATTCCAAATGGCTGTTAAAGCTTAAGAAAATCAATTAAGATGTTTCCTTCAATCATATCTACACAGCAAACTGTTTATCACTAATTTTATCATTAGGTGTCTAAATTTGAAGCCAGGAGATTGAAGTTCCAAAGACTCAAAGATTATGTTTCACTTCTAGGTTTCAAAAAGATCAGCTTTGAAATTGCCATTAATCATATCCATGTTTTATTCTGACAAAATTATTATGTGTACTATGCAGCAGAAAAAAAAAGAATTAAATTTGCAATGTACTGGAAATAAAATTTTTATAAATATGGTTCAGACTTAATGAAAAATAGAAGATGAAAAGGAAATGGGTGATCACAGGTTAGGAGAGAAGAGAAGATTACTCTCTCCTGCTTGGTGGAAGTTCAATTAAGTGAGTCTTACCCCAGACATGTGACATATAAATACTTTAGCATCAATATATGAAAGAGAACAGACCAAAGTAACCCTATTCAAACCAGTACAAAGATAAGAATACTCCTAACCACACACCTATTACATCAATATATTCTAAGAATTCTAAACCAACATTAGGCCTCAAGAAGTCATCTTTCTCATCATCATCCAAGTCTTATCCCAACTATATGGGGTTGGCAAGATGAATCCTATTTTGCCATTCCATTCTGTTTAATGCCATATCCATTGTTAAATTATGGGCACTTAAACAACTTCTTACTACTTCAACCCATGCCCTTTTTGATCTACCCCTAGCTCTTTTAGCCCCTTCAACTTGCAATAAATCACCTCTTCTTACGGTTTCTGTTGATGGTCTTCTATGTACGTGAACAAACCATCTCAATCTACTTTCTCTCATTTCATCACCTATTGGAACTACTCCTAGGTTCTTTCAAATGCACATTAAGAAATTACATGATGCACATCTCTGCAGAGATTATCTAACTACCAATGTTACAGGAATGCATAATAAAAGTAATGCAAATAAACAATGAAACCAAAGCAGAAAATTTTTTGTCATTCCAAAAAAAAAGCATGCACAAGACTTTACTTCTTTTCAATAAAAATTAAAGAATAGATAGACACTTTGTTAGAAGGGAAAGGATGGAGGGAGAATACACAAAGAATAGGACATAACAAAAGAATAACAAACATAAAGCAAACTGAGAAGGAAAAAAAAATGACTTAAACAAGTGATGAGAGGGTAATACCAAATTACAAATAAACTGCTATTTGCTACTTTCTCCATGTTCAAGACTATCACTGATTTCAGTACATGGAGGCATAAAAGTAGGGCCACTAGTCAAAAAAATTAAAGGACACAAAAAGTTTAAGCAAACAATGGGCTTTCTGAGATTTTTATGAACCATTGCTTATAGGCTATCCAGGTGGAGCCCACCTTGCAAAGCCAAATGCCACCATCGGGAAGCCCTCCCAAACGGGCATTAAAGTATTTTAAGAATTTCTTTTTAATATGGACAAGCAACTTTACACATGTTTAGATATGGGTATTCTTTAATGGAAAGCCATTTTTTTGGCTGAATGACAGCAAAATCAGGCTTTCTAGGTTTTTCACCAAACATTGCTTAAAAGCAATTTTAAGAATTGCTTGAACTTTTCATAATCAGTTATGTGATAAATTCAAGGTGAAGACAAAGAATACCCCATGTAGAAAAGTAAATTATTGCGAAGTTCTCATCTAAAAAACATCTTAGTGTATCAAAGAAAATAAAAGTTATTCATCCTCTATTGAACAAATATGAGAAATAAGTCCCTTTTCTTTGATAGTAAAATAGAAATTTCATTAAAATAAAAAAGAGAATACAAGAGGAAGGTGATAAGCAAAGTTCATCCACCATCACATTATCCACTCTTGGAACATGGGAGGCTATCTTGTTTAAATAAGAGGAAAACTCCCTGAAATAATTATTATGTGATATAATCTCCCAAGGACCTTTCTTTTCCAGGGAGCCTAACAAATAGCATAGTTAAGATTTATTAAGACTGCTTTCACTCGCCACAAGAAGCAGGAAGAATAATGATATGCCTTGAATAATTATAAACATGAACAGATTGGTTCCGTAAGTCATAATGTCATATCCAGGTTTAGGAGAGTGGGAGTCAGAACCTAAAAACCTTGCTTGAATTATAGTCACATTTACAGAACATTTCAACTCAGAATTTTATTATGAAATATTAATGAAAGAGATAAATTATGAAATGACAAAGAAATAAGACCATAAGTTATATAAAGAGACGGCTAATACATACGTAAGGAGATTAGGTCCTTACTTCATAGCCAAGTTTCTCTACAAGATTTCTCACAAACTGGAACTGGTCTGGAGAATCCTGCATGAAGCACAAATTTGATTGCCAATTAGGAAGTTGAATAGAAAGAAAATGCAAATTGACAGTCAAGTAGCAACGAAAGCAAACTGAACAATGAAATCATACCCCATTTTTATCCTCCATGAATGCATCTATTATTTTTTTGACAGCATATTCCCCTGCACTAGTAGACAGAGTTACCAATACAAAAAGACTGTCCAAAATGACAGAGAATACTGGACAACAATGACTAGCAAAAGAAATTAATAAAATGTGAAAGCGTCATATACATACCAACAATAATTGGCAATAAGAAGTCTCCATCACAAGAAACTTTTAGGAAAATTGTAGGATTCCGAAAACGATGAAGAAACCCTTGACCAATCGACGGAACATCAGCTTTGGACTCGTTTCCTTGAATAGGAAAAGGAAATAATTGACCAGATGACTGCCACTTTATTTCTGTTAGAATGCTCGAGTCAGGGGTATTTTGGTCATTCTAGTGTATCTTATTGAAAGTGAAATGTCTATTGTATCTGAGTTTAAGTTATGTGTCCCATCTTCTATGAGGGACAACATTGTCTTTCTTGTAACTTAAGTTTTATAAATAAAAGTCAA